ATCCTGCTCCATGCAAGGATCTAAGATCTGGGGAGTGATAACTTTTACCATCAGGCCTGCATGTGGTTCTTCATGGTGAGCACCCTCATACTTGCACACAGGTTATCTGCCTCATCACACCTATATAAAATTGTTAGTAAGAATAGGATAACCACATTCTTCTGGCTTGTGCAGGACTTTGTAGAGAGGGGCAAGAAGCATCCAACAAAGACCACATTTTAAAATTTCCACTCTTTTCCTTTAGAGCTAAAGCTGACTTTCCAATGTGTTGCAGGAATTTGTTTATCATCTATGGTAGCAAGGTATAACAGGGGTCTCCAGGTTTCTAGCCTGCCATATGTATATAATAGAATCTATTTTTAGTATTGTCACCTATGGCAATTTTTATACCTCTTCCAGGTTTATAATTCTGTATTAATTAGCATATAGGCTTTCCTTCTGTGAGAGAGCCCCTCACCCCAATTAGTGTCATAAATAGGGTAGAGGTTAATTTATCTTTTATGTAAAACATGGTTGTAAATAGTCCAGGACTGATAGAGTCCCACACTGTGTTGGGACATAGGCTCCTTCTATCTCATGCTCTGACATCTTTAGGGTCCTGCCCTTGGCTGAATGGTACACACTGATTTAATATCATGACTTCATTCCAACCAGAGGAGAGGAATAGGAGCAAGACACATTCCTTTTGAAGGCACAACCAAGAAACTGCATACATCACTCTTGCTAACCACTCACTGGTCAGAACCTAGCCCTATGGAACTGTGGCTGAGAAGTGTGGTCAGTATTCTGGACAGTCATGTTCTTAGCTAGAGAAGTTATAGTACTATAGATGGGGAAGTATATATTGGGGAACAACTAGCAGTTTCCACTTGGGGGTGATCTCTAAAGGAAATGAGGGAATGGATTGTACAGAGCTGAAAAGGACTGAATGTCTACTATAAGGCCTGTCCTTTGTGTGCCCAGTCCTTTCCTTCTATTGCTGTGACCTAACTGTCCATTTACGTGTCTGTCATCATCTTTCCTGAATCCCCATCATGCTGGGATCAAGGCACCTCTGGTTCAGTCTGTTGCCAGCTCATAGTCTAGAACTGGAACTCATTAGAGACTCAGGAAAATGTCTGTGGAATTGAACTGAGGTGGTAATAGGTATTCCTTGATAAACTACCATTAATTCGTAATCAGATCCTCCATCCAGCATCTATTATATGCCAGGGCCTGGGGAGTTAGTGTCTTTTCATCAGATAAAGAGGCATAGGCCTTTCATTCAGGGAACTCATGGCTAGAAGGATCTCCTGTGCCCCAGGGATATCTTTGTCTGAAAAACCAGTGCTGTTCAGCTCAGCCAAAACTCTCTTCCTTAGGCACTGACAACATACTGACCCATTCTAGCTCTTAGTGTCTCTTCTAAGACTACCATAGATGCGGTCCCCTGCATTTGTGCTTTGGGCCAGCTCAGTGTCACTGTCCCTTAGTCTGGCAACAGAATGTTGCCATCCATTTGAGGAACATCCATCTCCTACTCTCTATGACCCTATTGGGGCTGTTGGTAACAGTGCAGTGCCTCTAACCTCCTGGAAAGAGAGGATGTGACAGGCTGGCCATTTGAAGAGCTCTCTCCCTCTGGACCAAAATCTTCAAGGCAAGGCTAATAAGATTTAATTTGTGGAATTTTAGATCCCAAGAGGTAAGGGTGCAGATTTAGATTAGGGCTGACAGCAACTTTCTTTACCAAGAAGGGAGAGACTGTATTCCCTTGGTACTACTCCCATCATATCTTCTTGACCCCTATTAAAAAAAGAAGCCACCTGCCTCCCCTCCTATGTAACTCATTCTGGTGGACCTTAATGCCAGCTGTGATTCCATTCCTCTATTTCCATCTACTTCTCTTCATGAGTCTCTCTCCTCAGCTGTCAAATGTACTCAATATGCCACAATGCATAGTGGATATCTTTTTCTGGCCACCTAGCCATAAACAAAGTCTCTATCCTGAGCTATAGAGGCTTTGTAGCTGCCTGCTTCTTGGGAAGGAGGAACAATTGAGTAAGGTCTTGGTGGGTCAGTAGGTGCTCCTAGAGAGGCATTTGGGGAAAGAACTGGAATCCTTCCTTCCGTGGTGGTGATGGGATGAGACTGTGGAGTCACTTGTTCCTGTCTTGCAGAGCTGAGACTGGCTCTCCAGCATCAGCTTCCATTCTGAGTTCTCTGCAGTCTTCCAATACAGTACCTTTTGCTTAACTTATTCAAAGTTATTTTCTGCTGCTGAAAGCAAGGCAATATGCAGCTTCTTAAAAAGCAAATAAAGAGACAACAACAACAACAAAAACAACTAAAACCAAAATACCTCTCTTGACCCTGACCTCTTTTCAAATGACACTTCTTTTTTTCCTTTTCCCCTTTATGGCCATACTTAGGAGTTGTCTAGGCATGCACCATCTCTGAATCTCTTCTCCAATTCATCCCTCAACCCACTCCAGGGGCATCTGCCTCCTTCAATTTACTGAAGCTGCATGTTCTAGGTGTCCTGGGTCACCACAATGCCTGGCTCATCACATTTTCCTCTGCCCTTTCTCACTGCTCTTTTTCAGTCCTTGCCACCTGGTTTCTCACAGCTGAGTTTTAAACCGTCCTCTCACTCTATTCTTCCCCTTAAGATCTCATTTACACTTGGGACTGGGTATCCACGTGCCCATGATACCCAGACCTCCTGGGAAACTCCAGTCCTATGACTGCAACCTGCTTCTCCAAGTGGTGTCTCCAATATCCCAGTGTGCCCCCACTGAGCTCTTGAGTTCTGAGTGCAACCCATGTTTGCTCCTGTTCTGTCAAGGTCAGCAAATGGATCTTGGCCCATGTGATCCTCAAGCCAGGGCCATCTCTCTCTAATAAAGCAATCTACAAAGCCCGATCTCTCTCAACCCCCATTCCATAGTCCTAGCTTGTACCTCTAGAACCTGACAAGGAGGGGTTTGGTAAATATTTGATGAAATGTCTGATAGCAGTGAGCACACTCCACAGAACATTTCACAACCACCATTTTCACCCTGTGAGATAGGTGGTATAATCACTGTAGATGAAGAAACCAATGACCAGAGAGATGAACAATTATACTTGGGTGTGGGATAGCAAGGCCAGTGAATATATGGAGAAGTTAACATTGAAATTCACATCTGAGTCTCCATCCCGTGCTCTCCCTGGGCAGAGCTGAGACTGCCTCAGCCAGGGGAGCCTCTTTGCCAAGCCACAAATGTAAGAAGGGGACCAGTGGGCCAAGGCATTACCTGGAGACCCCAGTAGAACAGTTCACCAACATGTGTCTATGATTATCCAACCAGGCTTCTTGAAGCATATTCAGTGAAGTTCTTGGAGGGCTCTGAGCTGTGAGTTCCACGTTTGAGATATGGGTCTGGCACCAACTTTCAATGTAGTCACACATACCTTATTTGTTCTTGGAGCTCAGTGGACTTCTTCAAAAAGGGAATATAACCATTACTAAGTAATTTTCCCAAGACATGGAAAAATGGGTCCTATTCCTAGGCAGGGGCAGAAGCAGGTAGTGATCCTGAAAACAAATCCCCCATTGGCCCCTTGGATAGGCTCCCCCAGGCAGATTGTATGGGATAGGGACATGACAGCCTGGGGCTTCCACTTCAACACCTTATTTGTCAATATGCTCAAATCCCCAAGGTGGCTTTCTTCCAGAATCTGAAAGTGCTCTGAGACCCATTGGAAAGGGCTAAATGGTGCAGTCTGAGTTTGCCTGAATAGACTGAGTTTACCCTCACTGGGGGAAAGAAAAGCAGAGATGATATGGGTCACCATAACTTCATGGGGTGCAGACGCTCAGACAAGGGCTAGGCAAGCAAGAAGGGCTGGTGTCAACAAAGAAGACATGGTACTAGGACCCAGTTCTCTGAAACTGGGGCTCTGGGTTTAGGCCACGGGAACTTCTTGAGGATGGGAAGGACTCAGGCAGGCCTAGGGTGTATAGCTCTGCCTGGGGAATATCTAGGGAAAGACATGAGGCTCCCAGGTCACCAAGGAGACCAGGAGATCTCAGGGACTGGATCAGTGGGATGGAGAGGGAGTAAAGGAGGGTGTTTAGTTCAAAGAAGAGTTTGTGGGAAAAGAATGTGGAATTGGGTGGGATCTGCTCTTTTTTTCAGTCATTGTTGGGATCTGTGAGGCAGGCTGGGAGACTGAAGGCCTCAAATTGGGTTGCGCTGGTTTCAAAGGTAGGGAAAGGGATGTGGGTATGAAAATGGGTGATAGAATATTAGCCTCAAGGATGTGGCTGAGGACATAACCTTTGAGAAGGAGTCTATAAAGTTGGCGGGTCTATGAAGATGGGGGAGGGAGGCGGGCAGGGCGACTAGGGAGTAGGCTGGGATTACAGAGCTCCAATAACCAGGGTTAGGTATGGGGCCCACGAGGGCAAAGATCAGAGGATGGGACGTGGTATTTAGGGGTTGGTGGGTCCCCAATCCGTGGGTGCAGGACCAGGAGAGCAAGAGTTAGTGGCGATAGGGTCGGGTATGGGGTAGTGCAGACCCTAGAGGAAGGGGGTCTCAAGAGCGTGTTGGGACTAGAGAATTGTGAGGTGGGGTCGGGATGACAAAGGGTATGGGGGCGAGGCCATGAGAAAGGGGTCGCCACCCGCGATGTGAACCTCGGTGCCGGCGGAGGCGAGAAGGGAACCAGAGTGGAGCATGCAAAGAGGGGCTGGAGGATTATGGGGACGGTGGGGTCGGCTCAGGAAGGTGGGTGTCTTGGGGGTTTGAAGGGCAAGCCTGGAACGCAGGGGCTCGTCTTGGGGGCGGGGCTAAAAAGACAGCAGAGTGGGAACGGGGCGGTGAGCAGGGGTCGGGAGGGAGGACCCGGGCTCGCGGGGGCGGTGCCAGGGGCAGTGGGGGCGGTGCCGCGGCAGGGGGCGGGGCTGAGACGCCGACGCGGGCGGCGGAGCGCGGGCGGCGGAGCGCGGGGGCGGGTCCAGGTGAGCCGGGCCTCCGCCCCCTGCGCCCTCTCGGGGGTCCCTGGTGCGGGGTCGCCTGGGTGGGTCCCTTCCCAGAGCTGGTCCAGCTGTCGGCTGGACCAAGGCGGACGGTGTCTCGGCCCTGGCCGATTCTGGGTCTGGTCCTGGCTCCATCTTGGGCCGCTGCGCCGGGCACCTGTGGCAGTCGCAGGAGCAGCGCTTCCGCCGGCCTGCGGGGCCCCGGGCGGGCGAGAGGGTGAGAGGCCGGTTCTTCGCGTGCCCGTGGGGGTTAGTTGGGGAGGGGGCGCGGATAGGCGGCGCCTCTCACTTCCTGCGCCCTAGAACCCGCTCCTCACCTCTGCGTGCACTCAGACCCTCCGCATCCTGGTCCCCCACCTAACGCTCAGCGTCCCCCATATCCGCAACCCTCCCCGCATCTCGCCCATCCCATTTCCTTTTCTTCGATGTCTTCTCTTCTTTCCATTTTTCCTTACTCTGACCAGGACCTGGCTCCTATCGTTTCTTCCCTCATCCATTCCTTTTCTCGTCTATCCCCATCCCCCACCCTGCCCTTTTCCACTGCTAGCAGCCGTTCCCCCACCTTTCTTGCCCCTTCTCTTCTTCTGCCTTGCATCCCCGCCGGTTTGTTCGGGCCCATTTCCCTTCAATCTCTGCCTTTGTTTTGGGAAGGTCTGTAGTCTAGTTTCAGGCTGTTTGAGGTCCTTTTCCTTAAGAACCTCTGTGGGGTTTGCTCCTGAGGGTCGGGAAAGGGAGCCCCTGCTGGGTGAGGTTGTGTGTGTATGGTGTGTTCAGGCCTTTGGCCCCCAGCAGGGCAGGCTGGGCTTGACGTGCAGAGTGCAGCAGTATGGATGCTATTTCCTGTAGGCTTGCACTGCAAATGGGCCTGTGCCTTAGTCTCTGGTGTGTCAACGGTGGGGTGTGTGCCCATGCTGGATCACAAGTGCAGTTGAATGTGCAAGTAGGAACACGCTGGCTGTTTCTAGGCTGGTGTGACTTGTCCATGAGGCTCATCCTCTCCACCCCAGTGCCTCCCTGAGGGTGGACAAATCCTCCACAGGGTAGGAAGCTCTAGGGCTGCTGGGGTCCTGAATCTTTCTGGTGAGCAGTGTCGCACCCCTCTCTGTGATGGGCAGGTTTTGTTCCCTGCAAACACTCCTTTTCTGGAGTGCTTGCTGCTGCGTTGCCCAGTTTTGGCCCAGTGTGTTCCTTCCTGTCAGACTCTTTTCCCCTCTGGGATGTGTTAAACCACCTGGAGGAGGTTGCCACCGCCCCCCCCCCAAAAAAAAAAAAAAAACAAAACAATGAGGGATTTGTGGAGTGTGTATCCTTACCTGGTGTCTGAGGATAAGTTCCATATTTTAACATGTGACCAGTTTTTTTCTTCTGACCTTGTGGGATTTTTTTTTCCCATGTGGTCTTGCTGGACCCAGAAATCATCATCCAAATGCTTGCTAATCAACAAGAGGGGACTTTATAAGTATATTACAGTATGGCTTTGGCAGTACTCCTGGGCAAACCCCAAAGGCTTGGACTCTTCTTCTGGGATGAGAATTGGAACCTTTGACCAAGTTGACCCAACAGTCTTGGTTCTGCTCCTGCAGAACTGGGGGCATTCACTCTAAATGATATTGACTGTTGCCTGCATGAGAGACTGGTTGATTCTCTAGTTGCTGACAAGCAGAACCTGAGGCAGCAGCAAAGTCCATCATTGGCCACAGGACATGGGCAACAGCTATCACAACTTTGGCATCAAATGGAGCAGGAAGGAGAACATTAAGGTATCACCCAAAGAACACTAGTGTTCTTGGATACCTTTATGTGCCTGTCCTTTATCTTGTGCTAAAACATCTTCCTATGTGGTCTCTTGGGTGAAATTAGAATTTTTTCCATAGTTTTAAAGGCAGGGTATTCATGCTATTCAGGGCATGTGACTTGCAGACACCAGATGTGTGTGTGTGTGTGTGTGTGTGTATTTTCTCTGATTAAGATTTTAAACAACCTTGGGAAACTTGGTATAGTGATGGAGACACTGGTGATGGCCAGATTCTAGAACAGAATGAAGGTATCAAGGATGATGCAAGCCCAAGCTGACCTCTGGGATGTCTTGATGGCTTCCTTTCTGCCTCTCAGTACTAGTGCCTGCAATACCTTGAGCTCAAGCTGCTCATGATGGAGGAGAAAGAAGATTATTGTTATAGTCCATATGTTATTATATTTACTTTTCACAACAATCACACGCTGGCTATGTGGCTGTTTCTAGGCTGGTGTGACTTGTCCATGAGGCTCATCCCCTCCACCCCAGTGCCTCCCTGAGGGTGGACAAATCCTCCACAGGGTAGGAAGCTCTAGGGCTACTGGGGTCCTGAATCTTTCTGGTCAGCAGTGTGGCACCCCTCTCTGTGATGGGCAGGTTGTTTAGGAGTTTACTTCCATTTTGCAGATTTGGGAAACTGAGGCTCGAGGTTAACTATCCACCTAAGGGCACATATGCAGAAGAGGAAAGAGTGCTGGAAACAGAAACTTGTACCTTTTCCACCCTTGGCTCCCTGGTCCATTGGTCCAGCCCAAAGTGCCAGCATCAGAGAGCTTGGGAACCCTCCTCTCCTTGGGGGCAACCTGAAATAACTTCCTTGGAGCCTTCCTTCCCCCAAGGCTGAAAAGGCCAGGTTGTAGAAGGATATGCCTTGGCATTCTGAATTTTCCATTTTCATTTGTAGATTATTTGACATTTTTTAACTGTTTCACGGCTCAGTTTTGTTACCTGCTACTTGTAGGGTGGTGGGATAAGGAAGGGTATCAATAGATGTATATATCCCCCCCACACACACATATACTGGGGTCTCTGTGGTCACTGACCTCTCTGTGAGATGACTAGCCTGGGCACTGGACAGCTGTCTGGTAAGGCAGGCACAGTAAGATTCTTATTCCTGATGACTTCTCACTTGGTCTTGGAGCCTGAGGGTGTCTCCAGTCTTGTCCCACCTGTTTCAGGGGCTCTGGCTCCTTCTGGGCCTATTCCCTAGGAAAGTCCAAAGCAATGGGGCTCAGCTGAGGCTGTGAAGGCTGGCCTGATAGGGCCTCCTTGGGGTTCTTAAACCTGTTACTGTGGTTATCTTTGCCAGGGCTTTTGGTAACCACAGGCTTCTCAGATAGCAGGTAAGCCCCCCCCCCCCCCCAATCCTCCTCACTCTGGGCAGCTTCAGAAGATGCTAAGAAGTGATAGGGTGGGTGGGGAGTCAGGCTTTTCTCCCACTCATTAACATTTCCCACTGGAATGTCACAAACACAACTGTGAGTGTTGGATGCTAGACTGTGTGCTGAGGCTCCAGATGATGACAGTGCAGGGTGATGGCAGGCAGGACAGAGGTCTGGGAAGTGCTCGGAGGGGCAGAGGACCTCATGCACTCATGGGCTTAAGTCTGGCTCAACCACTCTCCAGCAGTGTGCCCTTGGGCAAATCACTGAACTTCTGAGTTTTGACCTCCTTTGTTGAATGGGGAAGATGACTTAGCTCCTGAGATTGCTTTGATAAATTAGACAGTGTTTATAAATGAGGTGGCACATGTCTGGTACATGATGATGTTTGGGTAATGGGAGCTGTTACTATTTACTTGTTGTTGGCTTTATTGCTCTTGCACCTGTCCAATTTTAGAGCTCCTTGAGAGCAGCATCTAATGGCAGAATTCTCTCTTGACTATTCATCCTTTTCCGGACCCTCCCAGGGACCAGTCTGGCTGGGATGGACACTCTTCATCAGGGTAGGCTGTGTTCAGAGCTGCATGGTCCAGTATGTTTGCAAGTTAGCCACATGTGGCCAGTTAATAATAATAATAATAATAATAATTATTATTATTATTATTATTATTATTATTTTGGTGGTGCGGGGGGCTGAACCCAGGGCCTTGTGCATTCGAGGCAAGCACTCTACCAACTGAGCTATATCCCAGCCCTCTGGGCAGTCAAATTTAAATTACTTAAGTTTCAATAAAACAAGAACTTGGTCATAGAAACTGCCTGTCAGGTGATTAGGGGCTACATGTGACTAGCACCTACCCTACTGAACAGCATATGGAATTGTGCAGAACTGGACTGTAAGCACTGTGGCTCCAGAACCATCCTTGCTGTTGCTTTCAATAGCCGCCAGCCGTCTCTTGAGCATAGTTCAGCAGAATGGTTGCAATGACACAGAAACTAAGTTCTGGAGCCCTTCCTGCACTCCCTTTCAGGTAGTCTTGCTCACCTGGAGGTGAGGGTGGCTGGTTTCCTAGCAGTCCTTATCAGTCCAGGGTTGGGAGGGTAGGGCCAGGATTGCCCAAACTGCAGCTATTGCCTTCTACCCTCCCTGTTTCTCCAGCCCATCCTGCCTGGTAAGGAGTCCTGGAGTGATCTTCCTCATTCATAACTATGGCCCAGGCTGGCTTGGTCCAGGCACCTTGACACTCTGGGCCCTGCCCAACTCTGAACCCACTGCTTTCCTCATAAACTCGGAATAAAACCTCTCTCCTTCTGCTGTTCCTTCCATGTAGGCACCTCTCCCTTTTCTGTGGCCCCAGCTTCCGTAAGTCCTCCAGAAAGCCCTTTCTGATCATCTCCAGCTCGCCTTGGCCTAGTCCTCTCTCAGGCCCTGTCTGGGCACTCAGAGTTTTCCCCTGCAGCGTGTCCTTGTATTTGCTTATCTCTTAGTCAAGTATGCAGCAGACATCCTCTGAGTGCCAACTACATGTCAGGTCAGTGCAGGGTGCTGGTCAGATGGCAAGGAACAGGTTACAGGCTTGCTCTGCCAAGTCCTGGTTGTTGAGGAGGCTGACAGTCTGCCAGACTGTACCATCAGACCTGATGATGCCCATCCAGGAGTGGAGGCAGCCCAGCTGAGAGTATCAGGAAAGATTCAGAAAAGGAGACACTGAGGTGGCAGGGGGCTAGAGTGGACTCTAGGCTGCAGCTGGGTCAGTGAGCAGCTCCAGAGAGCTCTGTGTGGCTGGAGGAAGGGATGGCAGTGGTAGGAAGGGAGGGGTACAAGGAGGATAGAGGCACACTGGGAAAAAGGGAGTTGAAATTTTATGGAAGACGTGTCTTATTTTTGGTGTTGGATACACAGCTTATCTCACTGCTAGACCAAGGTCCCCAGGGCAGAGCTAGAACTAAATGAATCCTGTGTTCCCCGGTTCAGATCCTGCCCAGCATGCAGCTAGGAGATGGCTTTGAAATGAATGAGCAAATACCAAGTGAGTCCCATGTGTACAGGGTTGTTAGGCAAGGCTTCTCCTTGCCCCTAGCACTAGAGGGGGAGACAGGGAATCATATCCCATTTACTACTGCCATGACTGAGTCTCAGAGACATGATGGCTCAGCCAAGCCAGAAAGGATGGGGATGGTGTGGGGGGTGCAGGGAGTACCCAGGGTAATTCCCAGTTTGGGTTCTCTTCATTACTGTCTCATCCCACAAACCTCCTCTGAGCCCCACTGTACCAAGGAGGCCCCAGTCCACAGTGAGATGGATTCTGTCAGTTCCAGTTCTAGTATTCTAGTCCAGCTCTCCTGGCTGCTAAAATTCAGCCATAATTCTGTGCTGATTGACTAAGAGCTATTGTCCCAAATTCCCTGCCCCTAATGCCTTTGTCCCATCCCAGGGTCCCCACAGACTTGGCCTCTTCCCTGTGTTCCTTCCACTTCCCTTTCCTCCATAATCTATCCAGTAAAAGTCACCAGATGGCACAATAGGTGAGTGGTCTCCTGAGCCCTTCTCCAGAGGTACAGATTGTTATATATTTATAGTGTCATTCCTATGGGATGGACTTGATTTGAAGTGTCTGGTGTGATGTCACTGACTTGCTTATGACCATTTAATCAGGCTGAGATTAAAGCTGTCTCCCCAGTGTATGAGCTCAGAGCAGAGTCCAGCTAAGGTGCTGATACCCAGCTCAACTCCTTCCTTCCCTTTTTGTCTCCTGCAGGCAGCCATGAGTTCCAGCCACCCTGAGCCCGAATCCCAGGCAGTTCGGAGTCCCCGCACACAGTCACTGTCCCAGAGCTCTTCCAGCCTGCTTTGTGAAGGCCGGGGGCAGAGACCAGAGCTCCGCAAGAGTGCCAGCAGTACTGTGTGGCAGGCCCAACCTGGCAAGGCCAGCACTAGTCCCCAGGCCTTGGTGGAAGAGAGGTGCCAGACTGAGAGCACAGAGCAGGCACAGACCTCAAGCCCCCATCTACGGTCTGGTGCTGTGGGGCACTGGCGAAGCAGCACTGTGGGAAATGTATCTACAATGGACAGTGGTGACTTGTGTCGCCTGCGGGCCCCCAGTGTGGCTGCTGTGCAGAGGAGCCATTCTGATCTGGTCCATAGCACCCAGACCCGGGGTCATAGCAGTGCTCGGAAGGCCAGTCTCAGCTGCTCAGCCCTCGGTGGCTCACCTGCCCGCAGGGCTCAGCTGCAGCCTGGCAGTATTTCTGACCAGGTTGGACAGCCACCTACAGGCCTGGAAAGAGAACTGGCTCCAGCAGATGGAACTTCTAACTCAGCCTGGATGCTGGAGGAGAGTCAGGTGTGGGTACCACCACCAGCCCTGGGGGACACAGCTACCCACAGCAGTGGTCCCCAGGCTGGGCCCAAAGCCACAGGGCAGCCAGCTACCACCTCCTGCCATGCTCTGCCCCCAGCAGCTCTTCTCTGCAGCATGAGGGAGGCAGTGGCCAGTGGCTGCTGTCATGCCCTGCCTGCCACAGGGATCCTGGCTTTTCCCAAACTGGTGGCATCAGTGAGTGAGTCTGGGCTGCAGGCTCAGCATGGGATGAAGTTCCACTGTAAGTTGCCTGGGGGGATTCACAGGCACCCCCACTGTTGTGCCCACCTTTGGGGTCCCACAGGGTTACCCACAGAGCCTGGTTCTAGGACCAAAGATGTATGTACCATGACTTCAGCTAGTGACTTGGGCCCCATGTTGGTTTCAGCCCAGGATGCTGGTGTGCAGGCAGCCCCAGTGGCAGCATGCAAGGCTGTGGCTACCAGCCCATCCCTGGAAGCCCCTGTGGCTCTGCACATGTTCCCAGAGGTAACTCTAGGGCCCAACCTGGAAGAGACATCATCCCCTGTGCGGGATGTGCGGTGGGATGCTGAAGGCATGACATGGGAGGTGTACGGAGCATCGGTAGACCCTGAAGTGCTTGGTGTGGCCATCCAGAAGCACCTGGAGATGCAGTTTGAACAGTTGCACCCAGTGCCAGCCAGTGAGGACAGCTTGTCCATTGAGGGCCGGAGGGGCCCCCTGAGGGCCGTCATGCAGTCCCTACGGCGTCCCAGCTGCTGTGGCTGCTCTGGTGCAGCCCCCGAGTGAGGAACTGCATCTCTCAGGCTGGCCTGGCTCATGGACTCAGCCCTAAGCCAGGGCCAGGGACAGTGTGGGCCCTGTGCCCCCTGAACCCACTTCAGGTGGGCACATCTTTCATCTGATAAATATTGACTACCTACAGATCACAGAATGCAGCCGGGGCTTCTGGCTTCATGAAGCTGGGCTCTTTTTTAAGGGCTTGATCTCCAAGAGCCACATGTCTGCACATTCCAGGCTCTGAACTTTGGGCCGGGGTTTCTGCACTGTGTATAAATTAGCTCCTAATTTTTCTGTAAAAATATTCAACCTTCAGTCTGCCCTCGAAAACTTTGTCACGTTTCTCTTAGGACTGTTGCTTTACTTTAAAGCATTGCTGAGAAATATTGAATTCTTACATTAATTGGTGGGCACAGGGGTTGTCCCAAGTGACAGGGACTTCCTGGGTCTTTAGAGAAGGGAACTTGAGGGAGGGGAAGCAAAGGCCTCCTGTGTGCCATTTACTGTACTTGACATCTTACCTTGTTGAGTCTTCACCTCTTTATGCCATTCTACAGGGGGAACAACAAGATGTTTGGCAAGGCTCTAGTTGATGTGCCCCAAGTTGGACAGCTGGGAGTGGTGGGCTAGGATTCAAAGCCAGGACTAGCTAAGCCTGGGTGATTCACTACAGCCTGGTCCAGTTCAGTACAATTGGATACAGGAAGGATTTATTGAGCCCACATTCTGTGTCAAGTTCTGTGGATTTGTGTGAGGAATGATAGGACCTCCCCTGCCATGGCTGAATCATGGTGTGTGGGGGCTCTGAACATTACAGAAGGGTTGATGGGGCTTTCAAGAGCCAGCCCCCTTGCAGGTCATCATGTCAGGGACTGACCCTATGATATGGAGAAGAGGTGACCACATGCCCTTAAATATGTTGTAGAGCCAGAAATTGCACTATTATCATCTCGTTCCTTTGTCTTAGATTTATTCCCAGCTGGTGCAGTTCTTCAAGGAGGGAGGGCAGGAATAGATAGGGGCAGGGAGGGAGACTGGCTGTGGGCCCTGTGCTGGGGCCTCCCATCTTGTAAGAAAATGCTGGAGGTGGTGGGGCCTGGGGACACCTTTTGAGCCTGTTTGTCTAGTCTTGCCCATGTGACTTGACTCGGGCCAGGGGAATTGGGTCTGGGGAGGGAACACTAGGGCCTTTCACTGCTGTCTTCATCAACCCAAGGACTTCTTGAGGCTCGTGGAGGATGGAATGGATTGTGTCTATCCTGGTACTTGGTGTTGAAGATCCTAAGCTCCTAAAATAGAACCCTCAGGCCACCCTATGTGGGAGCCAAAGGGTTAGGGTGGTGTCAGGGTCCCTGACCTGGCCCTGTTCCTGGGCTTCTTATGTATTTAGGGACATAGGACTCAAAAGGTGGTTTACTTTCCCTTCCCTTAGGACCCAATACTCACTGAAGTGCGAAAAACTCCTGCAATGATGGCTCAGGTTTTTAAACAGGGTTGGCATTCCAACAGGCCAAAGAAACAGGTGAGGAAGGCATGCTTTAGGTCAGAATGCCTTCTGAAGCCTCATTAAGTGGCATTCATAACTTGAAATGTGCCCTTCCCATGTAAGCATGTGCCTTCTCAGGTAACTCATGTTCTGGAGTGTGGCATATGGGTACCATGCCTCCTTTGTTCCTGGTCCTGCACAGGGGTTCCAGTACCCCCCGCCCAGGGGAGAGGGGAAATGGTTGTAGGGATATGAGGGAGCAGCACAGGGCCACAGTTGAGCATGGTCTTGACACAAAAGGGCTGGGAAGATGAGTGGAGTTGGGGCAGCAAGAGGCTTGGAGGTGACTGCCCTGCATGTCCATGGTGCATGAATCATAGAGGCTCAATTGGGGTGTTCATTGGGTTAGGAGGCTGGCTAGGGTGTCCTCATTTTGAAGATCCTGGTATGACTGAGGAAAGGGACTTCAGGGCAATTGAGAATAGGTGGGGCTACCTGCCCCCTAATATGTTGCAGTGCCTGAAATTGTACCATTATCATCTCATTCCTTTGGCTTAAGCAATGAGTGAAAGGGGTGGGTGGGGAGACCAGATTCCAATTTAGAAATATCCCTTTGGCTACCTGTAGAGGAGAGATTTGGCATCTGAGTGGCAGAACATAGGAGCCTAGAGGGTGGGGACACTTAGGAGGGGCCTGTTAAGGGGGAGGAATGGGTAGGTGGGGACTGTATTCACACATGTGTGCAGTTGATCTGGAGAGGAGGAGGAGGAGGAGGAGTTCTGGAAGGCTGAGGTTCTTCCAGACTGGGAAAGAGAAGGGTGAGGCTGCTCTCTGGAACAAAGACAGTCTCAGGAGGGGTAGGGGAAGGGCCCCACACTACAGAGTTTTGCTGAGAGCAGTGAAACTCGCTTCATGAAGAGACCTTCACTTCCATCATATGCAAATTACATGAATTCACCATTGAGCAGAAGTGTGCCAATTTACAGCACCTCCACACTACAAGATGGCAGGCCAGGCTGGGCCCTGCATGGGACAGGCCAGATAAAGCACCCACTCACCTCACTGAGACTGAGATAAAGGTTTGCAGGGTGGTGCTGGAATCTAGCCCCACCTGTATCCTGAATAGGGCCCCCAAAACACTCTTCTAGTTAAACCATATCCTTGGTCTCACCAGCTGAGCTTTGCCATTAGGTGGAGCAATTTCTGAACTTAATTTAATTAATTTATGAACTGGGCCCAGAGACCTATCCTGGCCCTTAGATTAGCCTCCTCCTAGCCAAGCCTTACGCCTGTAGTGGTTCAGGGCTACAGAGCCTGACCACTGATTTCATTTACAGATCTCCACTTCCCGGTTTCTAGTTCCCTTTCAGGTCTGGTTCTGGGAAATGCTGGATATCATTGTCCATGTGTTTGTTTTGTTTTAAATTCAAAATAAATACAAGTTGGAAGAAGAGAGGTTTGCCAGGCCTGGCAGGATAGGGGAATTGGTATTGATTGGTGGTACTTGGTCCTTTGAAGCAAACCCCAGAGTTCTAAAGCTCCCTGCCCTGGCAGGAATCTACCCTTTGTCTTCACCAGGGACTTCTTCCTTCTTTCCACTGGCTTTCCTTCTATGGCAGCCTGGGCCTCTGACACTGAAGCCTGGCCTCCTTGGGCTTCTCACCTCTGGGTCTGCCAGGACACAGAGATGCATCTCTCCTCTGACCTCAGGCTATAATTGTCCTTATAAGGAACTGATCCAATAGGGGAGGATCTGTTCCTGTTGGGATGCAGGCTTCTGCTGGCTGAGGGGCAAGGGATATGGTCCTCTTCCACTGTGATTCACCTCTGTGTCAGCTGGTTTAGGTCTCTGAACCCTGGATATACTAGATTATTATTTGACAGGGTTTGAAAGGGCCTTGTCCATGAAGATCCTAACATTTTAGACTTGGAGCAGGCCACCATAGCTTTGTGGTCTAAAGCTGGAGTTTGAGCCCTGGATCCACATCGATAGCCATAAGTTTTGGAGTCCCTAAACTTCCTCAGCTGTAAAACTGGGATGATAATAGTGCCTTCTTCATAGGCTTGTGAGGATTTTAAATGGGATAACCCATGTATGACACCTGGCTCTGAGTGATCGATCCACATGTGTACTGATGGTGTTGCATGGTGTGCCACGGCCCTAGGGAGTCCAGCTCTTCCCCAGCTTGGCTCTGATCACAGTCCACATTCCATTTATTTAAAACCTATTTATTCAAAGGCACTTCTGAATAAGGTTCTTCATCTTCAGCTTTTCACCCTGCTTGGGGCACATACATTCTGGCTGGAGATCTCTGAAAATGTGGTACCCTAAGTTGTATCAAGGAGGACCACTCTCTCCCTAACTGCTAGTCTGGGGATAAGATCCCAGAAGCTCATGCCAAGATGAGGATTATGAGGAGTGGGGAGAGCATGATAGGGAAGGACAGAAGTCAAATGAAAATGTGACTTTAGGCCAAGCCAAGTCCCACATAGGAGTCCTGGGATACAAACTCTGTGTTAGGGCCACTCAGGGGTAGGGGGTAGCCTCTAGGCACTTCTGGCCCTTTGGCATGCAGGCTGGCAGGTTCCAGGAGCCCCAGGGTAGGTCTCTGTTTGGAGCTGGGGGGCCTATTCCAGAGGAAGTGTACATAGGAACTGTCAAAGGGAGTCACAGGTATCTGGGGTGCACCCACTGACAGGTACCTTCATATTGCAAGCAGCTTATCACCCAACACATATATGGGGCTTGTGGCCCACAAAATGCCCAGACCTTTCCCTCTGTGAGTTGCTCAGAAACAATTCTCATTTGTGTTTGTGCCAGGTGACGTTGGTTAGTTAAATGCAGAGCTTGGAATTTGCCCAATTTCAGTTCCTTCTCATTTGTCATTTTGGCCTAGCCCAGATTTGTTATCTAAAGCTATGACTAGTCTTATGCCAGTTTTCATCCAACTTGTCAGGCAGGGAAGGGCCTGTATGAGCCTGGAATACGTCACTGGGTTATCCTGTAGGTCCCTGGGGCCTCCAAATCCACAAGGTCATTGTGGGAAAATTTGTTCAAGGCAAATATGTTAAAATCCAGATCTTCAACATCAGTAGGCCTTCTCACCTAAAGCACAGTCCAGGGACCCTCGACATCAAACAAGGAAGGTGGAGGGTATGGCCCGACTCGGTCCTTATTCTCAGCAACACTGGTTGGTGATTGCTGCTTCCCTCCCCCTGATTTGACCTCCTGTTTAGCTGTTCTAGAAGTTTGAGACCAAAAACAAGCTAAGATTTGCAGACTCTACCTATTTGTCCTTTAGGGGTTGGGAGTGGCCCCACCCTCACTCTTGGCTTCCCTGAAAGCCCCATCAAAGGCTGTTCCTGGCACATAGGGGTTTACCTGCCAGCTTCCAGGGAGGTGACCTTTAGGGTCAGAAGATTTAGGCTCCTTGCAGCTGTTCTTTAGTAACCTTCACTTTTCTCACCCTTTTTGTTGAGGTCTTTCCAAAGCTGAGTGTGTGTGTATGTGTGTATGTGGGGGTCTCCCTTCAGATTGGGAGGATATGGGGATGGTTCTGTTGCTGTGGTTACAGAGAAATAATAAACCAGGAAAAGCATCTGGAGAAAGTTGATGGTTGTTAAAAAGCCAAGCCAAACCAGAGTGGCATGAGCTGATGGGAATGTGGGTGAACTGGTGGGGTCTGACTTTCTTGTCCTCAGAGATATGCACATGCCACCTTCGCTAATTTGAATAGTGACTCTGCAGGACTCATGCCAAATCTCTCCCCCTCTAAGCCTGCGACAACTCTGCAAAGAGGCAAATCTGGGCCTCTAAACATGAACTCTA